GAGGAGTGTGGGGTGTTCAGCTGGCTTGTTCTGGCTGGAGTAGTGGGTGCAGGGAGTGTGTGAGCAGCTTCCCCAGGAACAGCCTTAGAATCTAAAAAAGGCATAGATCTTGTCTTAGCAGATATTAAATGTATAGAAAGCTACAGCCATTAAAACAATGTAATATTAGTAGCAGAAAAATCACTAATTTAATTATTTGTGTGGTCTCTCCTTTTCTGAATTGTGTCAATCTCTACTAACTGGAAACAAAATGAAAGCATATTCAACCACACTGTGGAATATTATGTATGCATTATATTTTATATTCCCAGAGACTTTTTAATGAGAAGGGGGTACCTTCAGAAGGTAGTACTTTTTAATCAGGACCATGTAATTTCCTCTTCCGCTTGGACATTTTTGATTGATTTCTTTTCTATTTAAAAATTTTTACTTTTTAAAAATTTTGTTGAAGTGTGTTGATTTATAGTGTGTTGATTTCTGCTGTATAGAAAAGTGATTCAGTTATACATATACTCTTTTTCATATTATTTTCCATTATGGTTTATTACAGGATATATAGCTCCCTGTGCTATACAGTAGGACCTTGTTTATCCATATGTGTAATAGTTTGCATCTGCTAATCTGAAACTCTCCATTGATTTCTTTTGCTGTATAAACTTTTGAAGGATTATCATTGTATTTTATTAAATTGTTTTTTAAGAAAGTTTGTAGAAAAATTTCACTCTCTGCCTCCCACTGTGTCCCTCACTTCCAAGTCTTTTTAAAAATGTTTCCAGTTTGATATGAGAAAAATGCTATTAAGAATATTTTCATGTGAGAAAAAGGAAAACATATTCAAAATGAAGAAACAAATGAAGAACTTAGCAAATATTTATAATATATTAAAGAAGAGAAAGGTTATTGTATAAAGGTTTCTCTAGAGATAAAGAATAGAGAAAACAAAAACAAAGTGAAGAAACTAGAAAGCTCTTAAACAGTAAGAACATTTATAATATAAATACGCATATGATAGAATTACCATTTCATACCATACAGAAAAGGTAAATTATTCAGTAAGTAATGTTGGAGTGAATGACCCAGCATTAAAAAAAAACAAATTTAACTTAGATTTCTAATTTTATTACATAAAAATCAAGTAAAACCTCAAAATCAGACATCACAATAAAATAAAACAACTTTAAAGTGATATTTTTAACATGCTCCCAAAACTGAAATTATTTTCAAATAAGTAAAATAACAAATCATTTAAAAGTTAAAATATAGATAAGTTTGTGAAATGAACTTATTCTTTCCTAAGAGAGAATAGAAATAAAAAATGTCAAGTGTGAGTGGATGTGAATATACTAAAATGTAAAATGTTTATAGATTACAGAAAAACCATTTACATTTCATTCATTTTTTCATATGCATTTATATAAACTTTTGCCAAGTACTTTCCTATGATTCTTTTTTCAAACTGATTCGTATGACTTTCTAATTTTAGTTATTCATAATTTCTCTCCTTCTCTTGATTATGTCAGTCTCATTAACTGAAAGCAAAATAAAATCATATTCAAAATGAAAAGGCAAACTAGGGACAAACTAGGGAAATATCCTAATCATATAAAAACAGGAGAAGTTTTTATATAAAAATATCTCTAAAGAGAGAGAATAAGATAAATGTAGAAGAAGAATATGAATAGGTAAGTTACTTAAAAAACAGAAATAGGTCATCCCTGGTAGCTCAGTGGTAAAGAATCTGCCTGCCAATGCGGGAGACATGGGTTCGATCCCTGACCTGGGAAGATCCCACATGCTGCTGAGCAACTAAGCCCATGCGCTGCAACTCTGGAGCCAGTGCTCCGGAGTCCGGAGCACAGCCAGCGAGCCCACGCGCCCAGCTGCAGTCCGGCCGCCGCCGAGAGGCCGTGCTCCTCACCAGGAGCAGCCGCCGCAGTGAGAAGCCCACGGACCCAGCCAGAGAGGAGCTCCTGCGCTGCGGCAACTAGACAGAGCCGGCGCCCGGCAGCGAAGACCCAACACNGCCCAGCTGCAGTCCGGCCGCCGCCGAGAGGCCGCGCTCCTCACCAGGAGCAGCCGCCGCAGTGAGAAGCCCACGGACCCAGCCAGAGAGGAGCTCCTGCGCTGCGGCAACTAGACAGAGCCGGCGCCCGGCAGCGAAGACCCAACACGGCCGGAAATACATGAATAAATAAATAAATAAATAAATGAAGTGGTATTCAGTATGTTCAACCTCATTTGTGATGAAAGAAATGCAAATTAAAACAACATATATATATATATTGCGATCATTTTGGTGAGAATGTACATTTATATGTATATATATATATATATGTATATAAATGTATCATGCATGAGGACAATAAAGCATGAGACATGGTTAATAAAACTAGTGAACACTTGAGTTGTTTCTTTCTTCTACTGAGTCTTGGAATTAAGAGTTTAAACTTATCTGAAAGAGTCACTAGCCACAGAATCAAGCTCAGGGTGCCAAAGTGTGGTTAAGAAAAAAAGAAAACAGTGAAAAAGAGTTGCTCTTTACCTCTGAGACAGATGGAATTATAGCAACTTATCCCTCAAACTAGTTGGAAAACAAATGCCTCACAAAACTTCATTCGTGCCTGGTCCTCATTCAAGAACAGGTGACTTGCTCTGATGCATCCTCCCAGAGAGAAGCTCTTTCTCCCGCAGAAGGCTGACCACAAGAGGCAGGAGAAGGAAGATAATGACTGAGTAGGTAGGAAACGCTTCAGGGGAGCTAAAGTACAGAGCAAGGTCACTCTGCATTTTCATGGTTCAGCCCTGGCTGGAAGCAAGCATCAAGGAGCAGGATTTACTGATGCCTTTGTCTGACAAGGGCTGAGTGAAAAGGACTTTTGAAATCACACCCTTGAATCATTAAGTTAGGCTTAGTGTTTTCCAAGGACACTACAAAAATGCACAAGCTGGACTGTAGGCAAGTTGGAGAAAAGGCAGCTTGAATGAATGGGGGAAATTTCAGACCATGACAGCCCTGAGTGAGAGATCTGGCCAGACAGCATGTTGTGAGCCTGAGCTTCAGGGTTGCATCCACCCTATGGAACAGGGGTTTTGACTGATTTCAGGAGCTGATGGGAAATCAATCAGGAGAGAAACAGGGATATTTGCTGCTGCTGAAATCAATGTGTCAGTTGCCTGTGACGACATGATTTGCTTCCTTCCAAATACTTTCTTACCATTGCAGCTGGCCTCTTTCTGTGCTTCTTTTAACATGGCTGTTACCTAGTTTTGATCAACTGTCTAAATAACTTTCATCTTCCCTTCCAGCTTCCTCCCAGGTTCAGCTTGGTTAAGAGACCACTAAGTTGAAATACAGTATAGATGTTAACTTGTGGATTCAGCAGAGATGACTGGACAATATCCAATCTCAGAAAGGCTGAGAGGCTGACTGTGGGAATCACTCTGCTCCTGTCTACCTTTGATGGAAAGCAAGTCATTTCATTTCTTTTAGCTCTAGGTTTACTTGTGAAAAGTTTAGGGGCTGGACTGTGTGATGGATAACATTTTTTCCAGCTTTAGCATCTTATGAGACAAAGATGAACAAAGAGCAAGAAGAAGTAATTCCTGTAACATCAGAAAGCACTTGAAAATACCCAATCGCTTAATCCAAGAAATGCATATGGAAACAATGAGATACTTTTTTAAACCTTTGTGATCAGCAAAGATTTAATAAAGAAATGATATCACGTTTCTCTGGGTCAGGGGAAGAAAAATCAGAGCTCTTGTTTGCTGTTGGTAGGAATACACATTTTTTTATAGGGCAGGTTATGAATATGCATCAAAAGTCTTAAAATGAACATCATCTATGATCTAGCAATTCCATTAGAATGAGTTCTGAGGAAATAATCAGGGACTCATGAATAATTTTAAGTACTAAGATTTTTATCACAGCGTTATTTATGCTATTAATATTGAAACACAAAGGCTGATCTTCATTTGCCCACGACTACTTATGTGGCACTTGATAGTAGACTTGGGAACACTCAAGAGGTGCAGTATCAGCAAGTTCCATGTTTGTACTTATCAAGCCAGTTATCTCCCTGCTGTTCCCAATCCCGCCAACCTGTGCTGAGTCACCCTTTCAGAGAGGATCCTGTGATGTGACTAAGGGAGGCCGTGCCTTGTCCAGGAGCTTGTGATCTTCTCTACTGAAAGACCATCTTTGGCCCACCATTGGCTGCAGGGCAAAGGGAACATCCTACAGCTTGTTTCCTAAGGCCCTTCACAGGGAGCCTCACCCCATCCAGAAAGAGTTTATCGCCAACTTCTCTTCCACTGGCACTGCCTGCCTGTCCTTTCCAGTCACCATATGCACCCTTATCCCCAGTCACCAGGTAACCTGCTCTCCCTACCTTCCCCTTCTCCTATCTGAAGGCTTTCCTCCTTTAAAGGATGCTTCCAAGAAGTGCTCCCTGACATTGTTTGACTTCATAGAATACACATGCTAGCATATTTTTGTGTGTACTGTGTTTTTGTTTTTTTTTCAGTTTTGTTTCAAGTTTGTCTGTCTTTTCAATTATAAGGTTTCTGAAACTGGTACTAGGTCTTATATTTGAAAAGTTACATGATATAGGAGAGAGAACAGGATATGAAATCAGACAAACCTGGTGTTAAATCCCATGTTATGTTGAATAAGTTACTTGATTTCTTTGTGCTTGAGTTTTGTCATTTATAAAATGGGGATAAGAGTAGTCATTTCATAGAGTTGTGTTGGATGGGCTAATTGTTAGCCCCTTTTCACAAGGCCTGCCCCATAGCACATAATCATAAAATGTTAGTTCCCTCCTCCTCATTCCACTTTGGAGGAGCTGAGCTTAGCATATGGTAGCTTTACATAAGATCTTGTCTCCTAGCCAGTTCCCCAAAGGACACTAGGAGCAATGAGTGCCCTGGAAGGAAAGAGAACAGCAGCTGGTGAACTGGGAAGGCCCCTGTGTGTGTCTGGCCAGCTGGCCTCTTACCTGATGATTGTCAGGGGGATGAAATACACCAGGAAGGCCACGATGGTCATGTACGGGGTCCAGTAGGAGTCGTCGGGCCACAGGGCCCAGCACTGCACTTCGCCGTTGGAGAGTTTCCTTTTCCCAAATATGATAAGGGTAGGAATGGAGAACAGGAAAGAGAGGCTCCAGGCAATCGTGATGAGGACCTTGGCCTGCTTTTCTGCTCAAAGAAAAGAGAGGGATGCCTGGGCATCTGGAAACAGCCTCTGGGAGCACACTTGGTGTCTGGTGTGGAAAAAGATCGTGGTGGGAGAGGAATTCTAGAACTCTCAGAGCCTCAGTTTCCTCATGTATAAAATGGGGGTAATAGGACCTTTATCCAGGGCTGATGGAAGGATTAAAGGGAGAATTTAATCACAGAAGCTAGAGCACTGCTTGGCCCAATCTCTCCTTCTCTTCTTCTTCTCTGATTTACCTGTTTGACTGGAGATGCTGACACATTCCTACAGTACTATGAAGCTTAGTTTGTATCATGTACTTTTGATAGGTTGCTGGGCAAATGCTTGTCTCTGGTGCCTTGCTCATCCTGAAAGGCAGAGATGGGGCCTTTGATCTGGTTGTTATTCTTCTCACATACCTAGCCACATGAAGCAGTGTGACAGTGTTTGAAAGCTGTTTGGCAAATGTTCAATAGCCCTCTTTTGTTTGAAGGAACAAGGGAGGAGTGGTAAGGCAGAGAAAGAGCAGTGGACTTGGTTCTGGAGAGCAGAGTTCTTCCAACCAAGCCCTGAAGTCTGATAGCTCTGACCCCACACACTAGATCTGGGCTCTTTCAAATGTGATGTTTTGACCTTGGGCAAACCACTCAGTCTCAAACTGAGTTCTTGAAAGTGGAATTAAAAAAAAAAAAACACTCTGTTCATCTAACCATGATGGGGTCAGATGGAGACAATTAATACACACGAGAGTGTTCTTTTGAAACAGTTTTTATGATGCTTTCTGTTAAGCCGGTGTTGAAGCTCTTCATCTTCATCCCCACTGTAGCTGTGCTGTCTGTGCTGACTGACCCTGGTGGGCCCCTTCATCCAGGGACAGGACACCTCCCTCCACCTCCCAGCTTTAAAATTGGAAAGCCAGTTCATGTCTCGGGGTGGGGAAGGGAAATGTAGAGTCATGAGGTATTGTAGAGAGGTGAGTAAGGTGTGATCAGGAAGACTATAAGAAGTGAGAACAATTCTAGAAGAAACTAGGGACTCTATTAGAATCTTGAATCCCAAATATATGGGAGAATAATATCTGGGATTCTGTTCTTGCTGAACTGTCACTCTGAAAAGAGTTATTGGAAAGATTTAGAAAACAGATATAACTGGCATACTGAACAAGCAGGAACCGTGGGGTAGAATTATATTACAGTCTTTTTAGATCTTCCCATCATTCCTTTCTCCCTTGTTTTTAACCTTTCTTCTTTCCTCAGCTGTTTGTAAAGCCCCCTCCGATAACCCCTTTGCCTCTTGCATTTATTTTTCTTTGGGACAGTTTTGTTTGCTGCCTCCTGTACAATATTACAAACCTCTAACCATAGTTCTTCAGGCACTCTGTTTACTAGATCTAATCCCTTGAATCTATTTGTCAACTCCACTGTATATTCATAGGGGGTTGGATTTAAGTCATACTTGACTGGCCTAGTGGTTTTCCCCCACTTTCTTTAGTTTAAAGCTTGAATTTTGCTATCAGGAGCTGATGATCTGAGTCACAGTCAGCTCCAGGTCTTGCTTTTACTAACTGTACACAGCTTCTCCATCTTCACCTACAAAGAAGGTGCATGTAACCAGAGACCCAGTAGTGTTGGGGTCTCTCCTGCACCTGCTTGAAAACTCAGGAAAGCTCTTTGATATCAGAGACTTTAAGTAGTAAACAGTTATAATTAACAGTTTTATATTTCAATATCTGACACTATATATCTCTCTTCATTATTGGTTGATGCTTTCCTGAATATTCTCACATTTAATTTTACTAAAGAGCTTTAAAATTGATGACTCCTCTGGAGTTGCTGGCTAAGGAAACTACCGCTTAAGTAAAAAGCAGTAAAGCATCAGTAAACTGTGTTCACGCCAGCGTTTCTGCTCTCCTTCCTTTGGTCTTGTTGCCGTTGCCATGTGCTCACTCAGTCGCAGGAGAGTCCCTTCTCTGTGCTGCTCTGGGGGGACTCTCCTTCTGCCTGCCTTCTCCATCCTGCCCCCCACCCCCTATATTCCAACGAGCTGGAGCACCAAGATGGCTCTAGCACACACTTCCCTCCACCCTGTTCCACCAGCTACCTCATCCTGTAACCGTGAGGATCTTTTCATCTTCCTGCAAGGCCATGCAGCTTTCCTAGAGGGCTTGGCATCCATGTTATGTTTAATCTGATCCCCATGTGCTGGGGATTCCTTGAAGTTTCTAGTCTTTGGATGACATCTTTCCTCGGCTCCCTTCCCAGCTGCAAGTGTCCTCCTATTTGTATGCTTCTTCCATGACTTCAGTTGGATCTGGGCGGAGGAAGGGAAAGTGGCTAATTTCTGTTTCCAAGCTTGCATCTCTCCCTGAAGTTATTAGAGATGATTATTTTCCAAGTGCCCTACATGAAGCCTCTATTAATTTTATAGTGAGGAAATAAATTGCTTTCCATATTTTAAAGAGCACTATAATATTCATTGCTGTCTTTCCTGTAATTTAGGGACCAATCCATAATATTGGGCAGTATCTCCCAGAACCAGTCATATTTTCCATAACCTAAATAGTTGATTTGTTTCTTAGCTAATGAATATGGTTAGACATATAACTCACCGTGTTTCCCCCTTGGCTGTGGATCCCAAAGCCTCTACCTCTAGCAAATGTCCTGGGACACCCCTCACACGTTTTCTTATACTTATCTTTTCTTTTCTGCAACTTCTTCATCTTGAAATACTCTGGAATAGAAGTCTTTTTGTACATTGTCTGCAATCCTCCCCAGAGCTTGCTGGGTGTTAATAAGTAGATGGATGAGTAAATGTATCATACTTTTGCATACACATATCATAAAATGTCTCTCCCATTTACCCCGTTTCCTCCCCCACTTCCTTCTTTGCCATAATCACTAGACCATAACAGTGTCCAGAAACCTTAGTTCAGATTGCACCCCTTCACACACACACTTACATGTAACCTACAAAAAGCCTTAGAAATAGATATCAATTTTATCTTAAAATTAGTTTCACATCACACTGATGTATTGCTGGTATAAAAATTACCTAATGGCATATAAGTTCCTGTGGTCACTATGGAGATTCCAACTCCCATCCCCAGAGGTAAGTACTAGTTGGTATGCATTTTTGTGGGCAATTGTTTATTATTCGGAGACCTCCCTATTTCTTGCATTCTTTCCTGCTCTTCTCTCTCTCTACATAATATCTAGTGTTGTTTTGAGTTTTTCTTTGTATTAATGTTATACTATATAGACACTGCATATATATTGTTTTTATTACTCAAAATATGATACAGACATTTTCATAGTGATGCATATCTCTCTCCATGGCTGTCCTACCTCTTCTTTGAGAGACAGGATATATAGTAATTGAGTGCACCTGAGCTGAACCCAGACCATCTGGGTTCAAATCCTGCCCCTGCAACTACTAACTGTGATCTTGGGCAAACTTCTTTAACTCTTTGAATTGCAACTGCCCAGACTAAGATGCAAATAATAATGGAACCCATATCACAGAGCTATTGTGAGGATTAAAGTATTTAACATATACAAAGAACTTAGAATCATAACTAGTACATAGTACACAATCAATGAACCTAAGCTATTAAAATTTCTACATAGGTGCTAGCCATTCCTCCATTGAGGGACACCAAGGTGAGCATTGAATTCCTGATATTCTGAGTAATGCTACAATACACAACACATATGTATATATGCACATGTGTCAGCATTTGTCCAGAGAAGATACCAAGAAGTAGAACTTCTATATCAAAGGGCTGTACATTTTACATTTTAATTAGGTATTGCTACATTGCCATCCAAAGTATCTTTGTCAGTACTGCCTGATGTATTTAATAGTATCTGATGACATTATTGCTACTTATTCTAAAGTTCTGCTTGCTCTGTTTTGTTTCCTTAGGTCTAAATTCTGCAGAATGGCATTTTAAACATATTATCTATTTTGTCCAGTTTGGCTTTTGTCACACTTTTTCATGATGTTGACTGCATCTCATTTTTGTAGACAAGATTTCATGTTAGGTTCTTCATTTTATCAGTTACATAGCCTGCTTGGAAAAGTGAAGTACTTTGGACTCTTATTTGCTTTTGGAGGTCAGAGATGTAAGTGGCCTCCGCCTGTGGGCAGAGCAATGGACAATAGACACTTAGTCCTATGACTAGGTATCCACCATCCCTCCAAGGTGTCACTGCTCCCCAGGGCCCCACCCTGTCTCTCGAAATCCAGTGTCCCCACTACTTGGAAGCAGAGATGTTCATCCTTGCTGCACATCTGGGAAGGGGAAGGACAGCAGGAAGGGAGATGTGCTATGATAGAAGGTCCGCATTGTGCTCCAAGAATCACCCTGCCAGTTTCCCCGAGTCTGTCTTGCTCCAGGCTATTCCACAATCTATTTAGGAAGATCTCTGCCTCATTGCTGTAGCATCATCTGTGTGTACTATGGGTTGTGTGCCTTCAGCCTTCCCCCTGACCGGTCTGCTTCCTTCTTTCAGGGATTCTTCACTATCTCTGGATCAAAGAGGGTTTTCCTTGTTTCCATTATAATTATCAATTTGAAAGATTTTTCCAGGTATTTCCATGGTTTTGGGGGTAAGGAAGGCAAAATGCTTCTTTATGGAAAATAAGCAAGTTAAAGTGGGAGTGTTCCTTAGTTTGGATAGTTATGTGTGTCAACGCTACTCTAAAAAAAAAGCTAGAAGCACCAGTGTCAAGGTAAATGGTCACAGGATGGGCTCAGCAAAGCATCTTTCCACACAGCTCTTGGCCATGCAGGTCAACTGTCAGCCTTTTCCCAGGCAGCCAAGTTTCTTTTCTACGTCTTTTTCAACAATCAGACTCAAGAAGTGGGGAAGGAAGGGGAAGAAGAGGGGAAAGGGAGAGGAAAAGAACCATTACTAAGAGGATAATATTAGCAAAACCCCTCACCCAGGGATAGTACTTGGTTGAGCCTGCTCACCTCCTTGCAGGAACTTCATGGGGTAGACGATGGCATGGTATCTGTCTATGCTGAGGGACACCAGGACGTAGGTAGAGGCATAGAGCAGCACAACCTGAAGACAGAAGTGCGAGGAGGTGAGTGGTTTCATAATGGTGAGGAAACGCACGTGCTGGGAAGAAGAGCGTTTTGTGCTATTTGGAAACCTAGGCACCAAACCAAGGGCTGGATGAGGTTTGGAGTATGGACAGGTATGCCTGACTCCCGCCCAGGCAGAAGATGGCTCTTCTTGGTGCTGGACTTTGCTTGGCTGGCTCTGACAGGTGAGAGTGCCTCTAGTTCTCACTTGCTCACTCTTTCGCTTGGCTTCTTGGAGACTCCACATTTCTCCAAGGATCAGTCTCCTTTGACATTTGCGCGGTACATTTGTTTGTAATTGACTTTTAAAGCTAAACTAATTTTCTCTGCTACAGTTGACATTCCAGAATAATTAGAAACAAATGTTCATTTGCCTTTTATCAACGTGAGTTGTTGAAAGATGATAGGAGGGTCAACTGTCAGCCTTTTCCCAGGCAGCCAAGTTTCTTTTCTACGTCTTTTTCAACAATCAGACTCAAGAAGTGGGGAAGGAAGGGGAAGAAGAGGGGAAAGGGAGAGGAAAAGAACCATTACTAAGAGGATAATATTAGCAAAACCCCTCACCCAGGGATAGTACTTGGTTGAGCCTGCTCACCTCCTTGCAGGAACTTCATGGGGTAGACGATGGCATGGTATCTGTCTATGCTGAGGGACACCAGGACGTAGGTAGAGGCATAGAGCAGCACAACCTGAAGACAGAAGTGCGAGGAGGTGAGTGGTTTCATAATGGTGAGGAAACGCACGTGCTGGGAAGAAGAGCGTTTTGTGCTATTTGGAAACCTAGGCATCAAACCAAGGGCTGGATGAGGTTTGGAGTATGGACAGGTATGCCTGACTCCCGCCCAGGCAGAAGATGGCTCTTCTTGGTGCTGGACTTTGCTTGGCTGGCTCTGACAGGTGAGAGTGCCTCTAGTTCTCACTTGCTCACTCTTTCGCTTGGCTTCTTGGAGACTCCACATTTCTCCAAGGATCAGTCTCCTTTGACATTTGCGCGGTACATTTGTTTGTAATTGACTTTTAAAGCTAAACTAATTTTCTCTGCTACAGTTGACATTCCAGAATAATTAGAAACAAATGTTCATTTGCCTTTTATCAATGTGAGTTGTTGAAAGATGATAGGAGGGATCTGGCTTTAAGGGGCCCGGGTGCTGTTTTGAATCATCTATCACCATCTGGGCTGACACTCTTAGAGCTCCCCTTCTTCATCCACTTCTGCAGCAGAGTCGCCCACTAGGGTCAGCCTTTGGGTCCCCTCTTCTGCCTTCCCACCCTCTTTCATTAAGCTTACCCATGTCCTTTAGTTATCCTGTGTACAGTGGTATTTGCATACTTTGCAGAGAAGAAAATTTTGACTTAAGAGGTTAATATCTCTTCTGTGAAGAACATACTCAAAAGGTAATTAAATGAAATATATCTGAAAGGATTATCAAGATGCAAAATTTTCCAGTAACTTTGAGCCTCATTTCTACCAGAAGTCTAGCCATATCACTATGTAAATTTTGGGTCAAATTCATAGTGAGTAGAAAGTAACTTGAAGACTGAAGTCTAAGGGTGAGTGTCTGAATTTCTTCTAAGATGAAATAGGAATAACATGACTTTTTAAATAATCTCTGTCTGAATTTGTACCTTTGTTAATTCCCTGCCTCAGAAAAATAGTCAGCTACATCAATGTTCTATATTATTTTTATTTCTGTAACACTGCCACATACACATCCCAGCATCTGTGTTGCAGATGGTGCCATGGAGAGGGTGTTCTGAAAACTGACCAGAGATTGAAGCCTCCCCTGAGGGATATAAGAAGAAATTCTCATCTTGCTAAGAAGCTGATGAGTGATCAGAGAGAAAAATGGCATACAGTTTTTACAACAACAACAAAAATAAGAAGATTATCTCCTTAGAGAAAACTGGGATTTCTTTGTGGGGTCCATGGATTCAGAATTGTTAATGCTGGCCACATTGAGTTGAGGAGAAGGATAGGAAAGAGAACTCTCAATGGGAGAACTGCATGGGTTAGAATGTTGTGACGAGACAGTCATGAGAATTGTGGCATCTGCGGCTGTGCTGATGGGATGACTGGCTCACACAAATTCAGGACCTGGGCAGGAGGAAAGGTCACAACAGACTAGCCAGAGAAGCAGGATGATTAATAAAAAGATACCTACTTTTGAGACACGGTCAGAAAGAATATTTAACTTCAGGAGTCTTCAAACATCTAAACAGGGTTTTGTTTTTTTTTTTTAATGTTAAAGATTATCTGAAAGAAACACATCTCAAATTGTCTTTCCTCCTCTCCACAAAAATAAGTGCCAGAAAACAGAACAAAAACATTAATGACTTTTGAAAGAAAAATTGTAATTCAAAAATTTGGTAAATATTTTTGTACCAAGGCACAGAATATTTTTCTTACATATAAGTAGAAGGAAAACATCACCTACTTTTGGAAAAAATCTTTCTTGAAGAAACATTTATGCTGACTGAGAATTGTCTTGAAATTAAGTACTCAGGAAGAGGAAAGGGGATAGAATACTAAAGCCATAGTAAGCAATGAGTGAGAAAAACACAAAATGTTTATAAAATAGCTATGAATATAATTGCATAATATTTCAGAGAAAATTTGGTGAGTTGGATGAGGGCAGAAAGTAGAAGGACAGCAATTTTCTGTTTAGATATTTTAGATATCAAATTTCTATTTAGATATTTTAGACATCTTTTTTGTTGTTTTTACTTTGATAAGATGTATTGCACTTTAAAGATAAGCTATGATAGAGTAAAATAGAAATAGAGAAAAAAAGATTTATTTGAGTCCTATGGCCACCATAACAAATTACCACAAACACTGTGGCTTAAACCAACATAAATTTATTCTTTTATGTTTCTGAAGTCAGAATCAGTTGTACTGGGTCAAAATCAAGGTGTTGGTAGCCTTTCTCTCGATGCTCTGGGGGAGAATTTTTCCCTAGTCTTTCCAGCTTTAGGTGCCTACGAGAGTTCTTTGAATTGTGGTCACACCAATACCATTTCTAAGCCCATGGTTACAGTGCCTCTTCTGTCTGTGTGTCAAATCTTCCTCTGCCTGCCTCTTACAAGGATGCGTATGTTTGCCTTTGGACTCAATAGTAATAATTATTGAGATAATTCAGAATAGTCTTCTCATTTCAAAATCACTAACTTAATCACATCTGCAAAGTCTTTTTTTGCCATATAAGGTAACATACATAGGTTTCATGTATTAGGATTTAGAAATGTTTGGGGGGCCATTTTTCAGCCTACCACAATTATAACCAAATATATAGAAAGGGAAAAAATGAGTGAATAAAAAATTAACACAGAAAGATTAAAATGATATGATTGAAATAGTACCAAACACTACTTGTCAAAATAAAAACAAATGGCTTGAACTCCTCCACTGAAACAAAGACTGTTTACACAACTTCTCCCCAAATCCATCTGTATACTATTTAGAAGAGAAACTTCTAAAACCAAAAGATTATCAAAGTTTAAAAGTAGAGTGATGGCCAATGGTATAGTGAGCAACTGAAAACTATAAGAAAGCATTCATTGCAATAGTACTATTAGACAAGTTAAATTCAAAGCAATTAGTACTACATGGATTGAAGGGATCATTTATATAATAATAGATACAATACCACAGTGGCAACAGAATGTCACTAAACCTAAATGTAACAATAGTGTAACACTAAATATATATAACTAAAATGTTCGAAGTTCTACAGAGGAAACAAGTACAGTAATACATAGGTAGAAATAATTAAACAAACTCTAAGAATGATACACATTATTATAAAATAAGCAGTATTTCAAAAATTAATCATAAACTAAGCTATCAAGGGAAAAAAAACCCTCAATATATTCCAAAAAGCGGAATTTATACAATTCACAAATTTAAAACAACAAGCAATGAAATCTGAAATTAGTATCATAGGTTTTTTTTAAACACCACTTGGAAATTTAAACAGCCTTATAATTAACTTGAGTCAAGAAGGAAATTAAAGCACAATTATAGTCAATTCATAAATGTCAACAATGAAAATTCTACACATCAACAACATATGGTATACCATTTGGAGAACAGATGGAAGCTTCAGGACATATGTCTAAATTCTCACTATCCCACCCTCAATTCTGANAAAAAAAAAAAAAAAAAAAAAAAAAAAAAAAATCTTGTAGAAAAGTGAGACTTAAATGCAGAAAACTTAAATTTTTTTGTTTAGAAAAATGCCAGATTGGATTCATTTAAAGTAGAATCTCTGGGCTGACTTTAAAAAATCAATATACTTTATCTTTTAGAACAATTTTAGTTTTACAGAAAAAATTGAGCAGATAAGACAAAGAGTACCCATATTAGCCACCCCCCACATACACTTTCTCTTCTTATTAAACCTTACATTAGTGTAGTAAATTTTTTAAAATTAACAAACTGATATTGATACATTATGATAACTTAAGTCCGTGGCTTATATTGAGATTCACTATTTGTGTTGTACAGTTCCATGGGTTTTGATAAATGCATAATGCCATGTATCCTTTATTACAGTGTTATACAGAAGAGATTTACTGTCCTAAAAATCCCTTGTGCCTTATCTAATCTCTCCAAATCACTGGCAGCCACTGATCTTTTTACTGTCTGCACAGTTTTGCCTTTTCCAATGTCATGTAGTTATAATCACACAAACATAGTCTTTTTAGACTTGCTTCTTTCGCTTAGCGATGTGCTCTTAAGATTGCTCCATGACTTTTCATGGCTTGATAGCTCAGTTGGGTTTATTTATCCATTCAGCTTCTGAGGAGTATCTTGCTTTTAATTTCTGGCAATTGTGAATAAAACTGCTATAAACATTCTTGTGCAGACTTTCATGTGGATATAAGTTGTCAATTCAATTGAGTAAATACCTAGGAGCACAATTGCTATATCGTATGATAAGAGTATGTTCAAGTTTATAAAAAATTGCCAAACTGTCTTCTAAAGTGTGCCATTTTGCATTTCCACAAAAGATGAATGAGACCTCCGATAGCTACATGTTCTCAGTCCCTTTTCGTATCGTCAGTTTAAAAAAATTTTTTTAGCCATTCTAATAGGTGTGTAGTAGAATCTCAATGTTTTAATTTGGAATTTCCTAATGCCTAAGTAATGAACATTGAAATTCTTTCTATATGCTTGCTTGTCATCTGTAGATCTTCTTTGGTGAAGTATCTGTTCAGGTCTTTTGACCACTTTGATGAGGGTTGNCTTAAACACAGAAAGACCCAAAGTCCCCTAATTTTCTCCTATGTTATTTTCTAGTAGTTTTATAGTACTTCATATTTCATTCCAATCTGTGATCCATATTGAGTTAGTTCTTGTGAAAGGTGTGAAGTCTGTGGTTGGATTCTTACTTATTTGTTTTTGCAAATGGATATCCAGTGACTCCAGTAGCATTTCTTGAGTAGGCTATCCTTTCTCCACTGAATTGTCTTTGATCCTTTGTTAAAGATCCATTAGACTTTTTGTGTGTATCTCTTTCTGTACCCTCTATTCTGTTCCATTGATCTATTTGTTGATTCTTTTCCAGTATCATGCTGTTTTGATTTTTGCAGCATTATAGTAATTCTTGAAATCAGATAGGGTCAATCTTCCAACCATATTCTTCTTTTTCAGTGTTGTATTGACTGTTCTGTGTCTTTTACTTAAACTTTAAGGTTTGTCCACATCTATAAGATAACCTGGTGGGATTTTGATTGGAATTGCATTGAATTTATAAGTTGTACTGGCAGAATTATCATCTTGAAAATAGTGAGTCTTCCTATCTATGAACATGGAAAATCTATACATTTCAAGATATTGTTTGATTTTTTTTCAGAGTTTTTCCAGTTTTCTTCATATTGATCTTTCACATATTTTGTTAGATTTATACCTAAATATTTCATATTTTTGGTGCTAACATAAATAGTACTGTGTTTTTTAATTTTAACTTCCAATTGTTTATTGCTGGTATATGAAAAAAATCTGAACTTTTGTGTGTTCAGTTCAGTTCAGTCACTCAGTCGTGTCTGACTCTTTGCAACCCCATCGACTGCAGCACTCCAGGCCTCCCTGTCCATCACCAACTCCCGGAGCCTACTCAAACTCATATCCATTGAGCCATCTCATCCTCTGTTGTCCCCTAATCTTGTATTCTGTGACCTTGCTGGTTTTCACTTTATTGTCTATATAGACAAAGTTATTTGTGAACACAGATGTTTTTAATTTCATTTTTCTGTACCAATCTGTGTAACTTTTTTTTTTCTTGTCATTTTGAATTAGTTGGAACTTCCAGCATGATACTGAATACTAGTGTGAGAGGAGACATCTTTGTATTATTTCCAGTCTCAAGAGGAAAGCTTCTAGCTTCTCACCATTAAATCTGAGGTTAGTTCTAGGTTTTTTGTAGATTTTTGTTATCAAGGAAGTTTCTCTCTATGCATAGTTTGCTGAGAGTTTTTATCACGAGTGGGTATAGGGTTTTCTCAAATGTTTTTTCTGTATCTACTGATAGGATCATATAATCTTTTCTTACCTTTTGATGTTATGAATTACATCAATTGAGTTTTGAATGTTGAACCAGCCTTGCATACCTGGAATAAATCCCATTTGGTCGTGGTATATGAGGAGATAATGAGATGTCTGCAGTCTGGAGGAAGCCCCTCACCTGGCCTGGCTGGTACTCTGATTTTTGACTTCCAGCCTCCAGAACTATGAGAAATAAATTGTTGTTTATAAGCCGCCTACTCTGTGAAAGTTGCTCAGTCGTGTCTGACTCTTTGTGACCCCATGGACTATGTAGTCCATGAAATTCTCCAGGTCAGAATGGTATTTTTACATTAGCATCCTTGGACTAAGACAGCCAGAAAATGTCAAAAAGAATAATAACCCAGAAATTTTACCTAATGCTTGAACTAGGAATGCTTATATTCTTATTAGTGCTTACTTGTATTTTTTTTATATATGTATTATTTTTAACAAACAAAAACATGAAAAATATTATAAATTTTGCTTGTCCTTTCAACTATGAAGAAGTGAGCAATTTGTTACATCAGAGTACAGGTTTTATACTATTTTCCTTATGAAGAATCCAAGAGGTAATATTAGTGTCAGTTTGTCTCATCATATTTGGAAGGTGCTACATACCTGCAAATAGCGGACCACGCGGCAAACCAGGTCAGGTGCCATGAAGTCTCCAGTGAATCTCCAAATGATATCTGTCAAGATGTTAACCAGTCCTGTGAAAGAATCTAACAAAAACACATAAAAGTGGTTGATTTCAGTCTCTTTCAAATTTGCAACTATGCTACAGTAGAAATTAATTCCTGGAGCCTTTTTTTTTTTTTTTCTGATTTACTAGGTGGCAAATGGCTTCCCTGATAGCTCAGCTGGTAAAGAATCTGCCTGCAATGTGGGAGACCTGGGTTCGATCCCTGGGTCAGGAAGATACCCTGAAGAAGGGAAAGGCTACCCACTCCAGTATTCTGGCCTGGAGAATTCCATGGACTACAGTCCATGGGTCGCAAAGAGTCAGACACGACTGAGCGACTTTCATTTTCACTTTCAATAGAGAAAATGAAAGGCAAGGTAGGAGTTACATTTTATTATTAGTCTGTCACCACTCAGATGCAGCCACTTAGGAAGAATTTTTGTAATGACTGAAAAGAAATATTATCAGAGTTGACCTTTTAAGTCACAGAAGAGGAGATTTAAAGATGTTTAGACCGGTACTAAACCAAGGACAGTGTGAGGACCAATATAAGGCAAAACTGAGAAAAGGCAAATATTTATTCCCATGAAGCCTTTCAAAAGTTTCCTTTCTGCACCCATCATTTTACAACTTGGACTTCTTGTTACCGCCCTACATGAGTTGTGGTCCTCTCCCTCACTTTCTTCTTCTTTCCTCTTTGGACAAAGTCAAGTGCATGATTAATTGACTTAGTTTTTTAAACTACTGAGGAATTGAGGCCAAAATCTGAGACTAATGTTAGAGACTTTATGCTCAGTTCTATAATTGCATACTATGTAAGTTATATAGATGTCCAGAGCTATGGTGAAATATGCTGTGTGTCTAGAAGTTCCTTCTCCCCGTACCTCTATGCAGATATCTCTCATTAATTATGTGATCCAGAATCATTCTCAAATCATTTCTTCAGGGATTTTCTGCTGATCAATGGATAGGATGAGAACTTAAGACAGATTCATTGACTTAGGGCCACTTTCTTGAGACATGGGATATAACACTCTGTCAAGGACCTGAAAACCTTCTCTATCTGAATCTTCACCATTAATAAAGTCTGAACCCTGAGTTTAGCATCAAAGCCTTCCACAATCTGGTCTTGCCTGCCCCTTGCCAAGTCCCCAACTGGCATTTTTATATTGAACATCAGTGGTCTGCCTGTTTCTTCCTTTTTGTTTCTCTATATGTAACAACAATTAGAAGCATTGGAAAATACATAGAAACTACCACAAAACTGTCCAAAAAGTTGGAGAAGAGAAATCTCATGGCAATTCTGGGTAGTCAGAGATGTTCTAGCTGAGAAGGTCAATTGAAAGCAGGGTCTTCAGAGTTGTGGGGTTGTGTTTTGATCAGATAGGAATTTCATGAAGCTTTTACTGGCAGGAATAGACTCAAATGAGTGGAATGGACACTGAAGTTACTTGGATATGCTCTTTTGGCTTATTCATTACTTAATTTTTTTAAAAAGTAAGGGAAAAACAAACCTACCAATCTCTAGATCTAAGTGGTTATGTGAACAATTATAATGTACTCCAGTAAAAAAAAAAGCAATTTCCCTCTGGAGCTCAAACTTAAATAAGCCCATCTCTGGGAGGAGACTATCAATGGACTGTACCACTGCATTTGTTATTTGCTATTAAGCAAATGCTGCTCTATCTGATCAGTAAATGCTATTTAGTTGCCTAAGTAATTGAGGACATTGCAAATAAGCCTTCCCTAAATGGCAATTAATGGGACCTTGGGAACAAAGGGCACACTTGAAAGGCTTAGTCACTTCTATGTATTACTCTTGCTTTTTAAAATCTCCTCTGTGAACAATTCTAGGAAACTGTTAAACTCAGAAAAGCCAAAACAGGCTCACAGCAGTCTCTAGTGCTCCTTTGACAGATTCTTACAAACATGAAAGTGGGTTCCCAGTTGGAGCAGGATTATGGGTATTGTAGGGAGAAGTCAAAATGAGGTGACCACCGAACTGAACCCTAAAAGTTTGGACAGGCCAGTGGAAGAGGGAGGGAAGGATGTTAACTCTGGCACAGATGACAGCATAATTGAAATTACAGAGGTGAGACAGAGTGAGATGAGAAACTCATCGCTTTTGCATATGAAACAATATCTATTTGTTGTTGCTGAAGCCTAAAACAGGTTCTTGAAAGTGGCAAGAAATGGGCCTGGAGAGTCAAGAATCCAAGGAATTTTAAGGTCTTATGCGCCAATTAAAGGAGCTTTCTTTTTTTTTTTTTTCCATATACTGGGGGAAAATTAAATGTTTATGTATTCAAACATGTGTTTTACATAGCTTCTTTAGTTACTGTAATGGTTGTGGGTGGGGGGAGGAGGTAGATCAATTTGGTAGGTCCAATACTGAAATTGGGCTTCTTTGGTTAGCTCAGATGGTAAAGAATTGGCCTGCAATGCAGGTGAGCCGATTTCAATCTCAGGGTCAGGAAGATCTCCTGGAGGAGGGAATTGCTACCCACTCCAGTATTCTTGCCTAGAGAATTCCATGGACAGAGAAGCCTGGCAGGCTACAGTCGATGTGATTGCCAAGACTCAGACACGACTGAGTTACTAACACACAATACTGGAATTGCCATTTATATTTGTTAGGGAACTGTGCAGAAGTTCAAGAAAGAGAACATTGGTACCTAGCGTATGTCAAATAGGAGCAAAAATAGAGAAGAAAATGCAATATGACATCTATTTTGAAGGTAAAATAAGGAGGACTTTGGTGTTTTAAAAGTGAGGTAGAGGGAGGAGTCAATAGTATATTAGGGTACTGGAGTGGGTAGATGGTGGTGTCTCCTGCAAATATAGGAGGATAAGCTCATTCTATTTGGGTTGCTTCCAGGTTTCAGCTGTCCCAAATAAAACTGCTATGAACATTCCTATATAAGATTTTATGTGAACATAAGTTTTCATTTTCTTAGGGTAAATACCCAGGAGTAGACTGTTGGGCCCTAGGGTAAGTATAGCTTTTCATAAGAAACTGCTCAACTGTTTTACAGAGTTGCTGCACCAGAGTGCTCCTCACCAATAAAGTGTAAGAAATACTTGTGCATCCTTGGTACCACTTGATATTCTCAATGTGTTTTATTTATTCGACCATGAGTGTACTGTGCTGTGCTCAGTTGCTCAGTCATGTCTGACTCTTTGCAACGCTTTGGACTGTAGCCATCTCATCCTCTGTCGTCCCCTTCTCCTCCTGCCCCCAATCCCTCCCAGCATCAGGGTCTTTTCCAATGAGTCAACTCTTTGCATGAGGTGGCCAAAGTATTGGAGTTTCAGCTTCACAATCAGTCCTTCCAATGAACACCCAGGACTGATCTCCTTTAGGATGGACTGATTGGATCTCCTTGCAGTCCAAGGGACTCTCAAGAGTCTTCTCCAACACCACAGTTCAAAAGCATCAATTCTTTGGTGCTCAGCTTTCTTCACAGTCCAACTCTCACATCCATACATGACCAATGGAAAAACCATAGCCTTGACTAGATGGACCTTTGTTGGCAAAGTAATGTCTTTGCTTTTTAATATGCTGTCTAGGTAGGAGACTTCTAATTAGTGTTAGTTTAATATCCTGGTCCAGCCATTTTATACCTCCATCCCCGAGAGTTGAGGGATTTTTATTTCTGTGCCTTTCCTTATTCTCTAGGGCATTTGGTCCTGCAGTGGCCTAGGGTTTTTGTTGGAAGAAGTGACTGGCAAGAAGGAAGTATTTCATGCTTTTCCTGTAGGCATGGCCTAAACCTTCTTGTACACCTGCACACCATCTCTATAACAACTCTTCAGCTCTGCCACTGTAGTGTGAGCCATAGGTGGTACTCTAACTGAATGGACATGGCTATGTCACCATGAAACTTTATTTATAAAAATGGGTTTGGGGCTGAGACTGACCTGTGGGCTATAGTTTGCCACTCCCTGATCTATAGAATAAAGTTCAAATGCCCTATTGTGACTTTTGGAGCCTTCTTGCCTCTTTCTTCAGTTTGATCTTTTCTCATCCTCTCCTAAATTCATGCTACAGGAGAAACCCTTTCAACCAGTACATTAATAGCGACACCAGTTTGATGGTCAAAACATTGGTTAAAGAAAGAAAGCACACCCACAAAACCACCTTAAAATATCTTAACATAAAACTTGAGTGTACATTTGTCTTATCTTTAACATAGGGGCAAGACTTTGATTTTATGAATCATCCTTTTTAGTGCATAAAATGCCTCCATAATGCATCTCTCACGATTTCCAGTCCTGGTTTTTTTAGAGTGAGAACTTGAGATATAAGCAAAGCAATTTGAGGCAGAATCTCATTGTAGGGGATTTTATAATCCTACTTTATTCTTTTATAGTTCCATTTCCTGGGCTTGCTTCTATTGTAGCTTCTTTTAGTGACTCAGTAAAAATAAAAGTTAAGTTGTTTTCAAAATATCTAACTTAATTTTCACAGAAACAACAACTCTCTGGTGTTGTTTATGTTAATTATATAATTTCAGTAATGAGTACCACTGGCACAAACTGACTGGGAACAAACTCCTGTGACTCACGTGATATAAGAAGTGGAAGTGGAAAGGGCACAGGCTCATTAGTGTCCATCCGTCTTGCCATAGATGCTGGTAGGGTGTTTTCTGCTAGTTTGCAGAAAGAGTGGAAGTGCTGCTTAGTCAAGTGAGGCGCTTAAGATGTAGTTAAGAGAGAAGACCATACTGTTCCTTGAGCATCCCCAGTGTTTTCCTCCGCCAGCGCCTTTCTTTACGTCGGTCCCTTTACTTGGCAAGTTCTTTATGTACCTCTACCTGAACGATATCTCTTAGCATTGAAAAGTTTAGTTCAATATTACCTCCTTTATGATGCTTCGTGTTCTTCTTGCTGAAGACTACTGAGATTGGCTGATTCCCTGGAAGTACCTGTAACACACTGACATTGTTAATATTTCTTTTCAATTACACTATAGTTTGGGAAGATAAGGTTTTTTTTAATTCACCTTTATGTCTCTGGACCCTGACGCTGTTTTATCATGTGGTAAAAGCTTGGTAACTTCCTACTAGGTAATGACTACATTATTACTGCTGCTGCTTGGTTGGCTGCCTGCAGGCTCCTGCAGAAGTTGCTAGAGAGGCGATGCCTCAGAGCAGATAGAGCCACATTAACCATCTTCTTCAGTGTAGATTAAGATAATGATTAGAAATCCAGATGCTGGAAGGAGGAATATGACTGGAAGTTTTGCTCCCTCAATAGGTTTCCAAAAGAGCTCGCTCTACAAATGACCCAATTTCACTCCTTTTAATGGCCGAGTAACATTCCATGTGTATGTGTAAAATAGACAGCTAGTGGGAACCTGCTACATAGCATAGGGAACTCAGCTTGGTGCTCTGTGATGACCTTGATTACAGGGGGTGGTGGTGGCAGGGGCTGGGGATGGTGGTGGGAGGGAGGTCTGAGATAGAGGGGATATATGTATATGCATAGCTGATTCACTTTGTTGTACAGCAGAAACTAACACAATATTGTAAAGCAACTATACCCCAATTAAAAAAAAAGAAAAAAAAAAGAGCTCTCTTGATTCTAAGGTCTCTGCTAGGTTGCAATACCACAGTGGCTGTGCCTTATTCATGTTTATATTCTCATCCCTTTTTATACTGTCTTGCAAAATACTCAGTGTTTGCTAGAAAAAGAAGAAAATGTTGGCTTACAAAACAGATTTGCAAATACCTTGAAAATGCAAGGCCACCAGTGTAGGATTCACTCTGCATAGAGAGAAAGTTGAAGCACCGTTTCTACTTGCTCTAAGTTGATATTTGAACTTTCCCATGCAGAGCAGAATTATAGGAATAGTGAATACCTAGAAAGCTGAGTAACTCTTTTTCTTGGCAAGTGAATAGTACATGAACATTTGTTGCACTGGATAGGGGGCTATTGAATACAAACACAATTTCTATAAGATTGAGATTTCTGATAGTGTAAGATACTTTTAGTGCCAAGTAGGGATTGTGGAGGAGTGTTACTTGGTTTGACTGTAGGGGCACTCTGGGCAATAATTTCAACCATGAATCTCCAGGGTTTGTGATGCTTCTAGTTCAATTCAGTGTCGTTGCGTTGTTTGTTTTGTTTTAGAAGCAAGGGAGGTGATAATGGTTTGTTTGCTTGCAGTTGCACAGGAAACTATTTTTGATATTACTAAGGATCCCACTCTCTCCCACTTTGCTTCTATAACAACCATATGCTTGAGAACACTCTAAATGGAACAAGATTTCAAGACCTTATGTGAAAGTTAGTTTAATGAGAGAAGTTGCATTGCCCAAACTGATGTCAGGTGATTAACTGCCAGATAAAATTATTTCTCAGAAAAGTAAGTTCTTGTGTCTCTAAGTTTTGTGCTCATTTTACAATGCTAATATGATTCTGGCACCATGTCCTTCACCAAGATTGAGTACTAGCTGAGCTTAATGGCCTAAACTGTCAACTCCCGGGTTCTTTATTAATCCCGGGAAAAGTGGCCTGCACCTCAGTCATTATTGCTCAATTAGGTAAATAATCATCACATCCATTCTCATTAGAGCACTCTCTTCACAGAAAACTTCATTCCTGATATTTTTCAATTAGTCTTAACAAGTCATAAAATGCCACTAATGTCTCTCATTCTCCATTGGTCCACCAAACAAATAAAAATCACGTGTCCAATTAAAGAAACCCAACTCCTCCTAGAACTTATTCCCTTTGCTTCTGTTGTGCTCAAAAGCCAAGAATCTCATTTAATGAGGCCAACTGGTCAGCCTGGGTCATTGTTCATTGCTGAGTGGTGAAGAATTCTTAAACTCATATGTACAAACATCAGGTTCAGCAAGAGCAAACGTTTCCTTAAGATAAGGGAAAATAAGGCACTGAGTCACTACTATTTCTCCTCCACTTTATGTGGAAATGTCTTGAGGCAGGGTCATGCACAATCATCCCTACACAACATGGGACTCAAACTGACTCAGTATAAATGTAAGAAATGGAGAACTTATTTCCTATTTTAATGAGATTGTGTTTTCCTATTAAAAAGAACTGGCATCAGTGAATCAGTTTATTATAGGTTGTTTAGAAATCTAAGTGTAGGGGTTGGGAAATTCATTTGTAGTTATCCAAGAAACAAGTTCTTTGAATGTCATTTTTTTTTCCCTTTGTCCTCTTGCCCAAGGACAAATGACTTGTAGCAGGTTGGGATGGATGTGGTAGATTATATCAAGAAATATTTGGACTATCATTGTCTTGAGATGGTCTTTATGGCTGCCCCTTTATATAATTTAAGATCTCAGTAAATATCTTATTTCACTGACACTGCCCAAGCGTCATCTGCACCTCTGTCATCAAGGGTTTGTAGTTAATATATGTTGTTTAATAATCATAGAGATCAAATTACCAACATCCATTGGATCATAGAAAAGGCAAGAGCATTCCAGAAAAGCATTTACTTCTGCCTCATTGACTATGCTAAAGCGTTTGACTGTGTGGATCATAACAAACTGTGGAAAATTCTTAAAGAGATGGGAATACAAGGCTACCTTACCTACCTCCTGCAAAACCTCTATGCAAGGCAAGAAGCAACAATTAGAACTGGACTTGGAACAATGAACTGGTTCCAAATTGGGAAAGGAGTACATCAAGGCTGTATATTGTCATCCTGCTTATTTAACTTAAATACAGAGTACATCATGCAAAATACCAGGCCCATCTGATCTCATCAGTTCAGTTCACTTCAGTCGCTCAGTTGTGTCCAACTGTTTGCAACCCCATGAATCGCAGCACACCAGGCCTCCATGTCCATCACCAACTCCCAGAGTTTACCCAAACACATTTCCATTGAGTTGGTGATGCCATCCAACCATCTCATCCTCTGTTGTCCCCTTATCCTCCTGCCTTCAATCTTTCCCAGCATCAGGGTCTTTTCCAATGAGTCAGCTCTTTGAATCAGGTGGTCAAAGTATTGGACCAGTACCAATACCAGTCAAAGTATTCAACATCAGTCCTTAAAATGAACACCCAGGACTGATTTTCTTTAGGATGGACTGGTTGGATCTCCTTGCGGTTCAAGGGACTCTCAAAAGTCTTCTCCAACACTATAGTTCAAAAGCATCGATTCTTCAGCCCTCAGCNTTGCTTTTTCAATGATCCAGCAGATGTTGGCAATTTGATCTCTGGTTCCTCTGCCTTTTCTAAAACCAGCTTGAACATTTGGAAGTTCATGGTTCACGTATTGCTGAAGCCTGGCTTGGAGAATTTTGAACATTACCAGCGTGTGAGATGAGTGCAATTGTGCGGTACTTTGAGCATTCTTTGGCATTGCCTTTCTTAAGGATTGGAATGAAAACTGACCTTTTCCAGTCCTGTGGCCACTGCTGAGTTTTCCAAATTTGCTGACATATTGAGTGCAGCACTTTCATATCATCATCTTTTAGGGTTTGAAATAGCTCAACTGAAATTCCATCACCTCCACTAGCTTTGTTGGTAGTGATGCTTCCTAAGGCCCCCTTGACTTCACATTCCAGGATGTCTGGCTCTAGGTGAGTGATTACACCATTGTGATTATCTGGGTCGTGAAGATTTTTTTTGTACAGTTCTTCTGTGTATTCTTGCTGGTCTCATCACTTCATGGCAAATAGATATGGAAACAATGTAAACAGTGACAGACTTTATTTTCTTGGGATCCAAAATCACTGCAGACAGTGACTGCAGCCCTGAAATTAAAAGACACTCTTTGGAAGAAAAGCTATGACAAATCTGGACAGCATATTTAAAAAAGCAGAAACATTACTTGGCCAACAGAGGACCGTATAGTCAAAGCTATGGTTTTTCAGTGTTCATGTACGGATGTGAGAGTAGACTATCAAGAAGGCTGAGCACTGAAGAATTGATGCTTTTGAATTGTGGTTTTGGAGAAGACTCCTGAGAGTCCCTTGAACTGCAAGGAGATCCAACTAGTCCATCATAAAGGAAATCAGTCCTGAATATTCATTGGAAGGACTGATGCTGAAGCTGAAGATCCAATATTTTGTCCATCTGATGCAAAGAGCTGACTCATTAGAAAAGACCTTGATGGTGGGAAAGATTGAAGGCAGGAGGAGAAGTGAACAGCAGAGGATGGGATGGTTGGATGGCATCACTGACTCAATGGATATGAGTTTGAGCAAGTTCCAGGAGATGGTGAAGGACAGGGAAGCCTGGCATGCTGTAGTCCATGGGGTCTCAAAGAGTCAGATATGACTGAGCTACTGAATAACAACAGCAAGTAATCATAGAGGACCAGGTAGCCTCTATGCTCTTAATCCCCAAACAATGAAAACCTTCGCTGATATGTTCCTGACACCCATGAGATAAGTTACCCATTCATAAATCTTAAGTTAGGAGCATGCTTCCTGTTTCCCAGCACCTACTCCCATACCCTAGGTTAACTGTAAAATTGTCCCAGTGGCCCCTCGCCAGTGTGGGGTTCAGCTGTGAATGCTTCTAGATCATTGTCTGCCCCCAACCTAATCCAACCCTGTGAGTAAGTGACCCTGTAATAAACTGATTCATTGAGTATATGAAGCTACCTGCCTCGTTTTTTGGTCTCAAGCTGTCTTCTCAGTTCATTGGATACTTTTCATTCCCT